AAAGAAAACAGTTTTTTTATGTCCATCGAGACGCAGACATATTCGCGCTCGAACTAACACGTGCTCCACATGGCGCGGTAATCTTCCGTCGATCATTTTCAGCAATAACTGATGGCAATGTGGCCTATTTGTGTTCATTGATGAGTTGAGCTCGGTGGACGACATGTCAGACAATAACTCTATTTCCGAAGTTTGTGCTGGCTAGAAATAAACGGGTGCCGCTGTTATCCTTTTGTTTGGTTGGGTTTCCGAAAGTGCCACCTAAGTGCCTTTCTACCTGACAACCTACCTGCTTATGTATTAGAAACACCTGTAAAAACAACCACCTCTGAACATCTAGCTTTTAATAGGAGACTAAACCATTTTCGGTGAAACTCATTCTTGACTTCATCCAAACTGCAGTCAATGGATGTACAAGCAGAGATCCTAAAGAGACATCGGCGAGTTTCACCACTCGTTTTAGTCTTCACTGTACCATTCAGTTGGACAGCGCACAGGCGAACGTCAACTGGAATCCATTTGTCCAGTACAATTTTTCCACCTTAGTGCTTAATAGTATACCTACACCTGCAAGACTGCGAAAACTAGCCGTCAAATATCTAGAAACTCCAAGCGTGAATTTTTTAGATCCACCATACTGACCGGATGAGGTTGGGTGAACAACCGCATTTAGGTCATGTATGCGTGTCTCACAAACGAACCACAGATCCATGGTCCGAGTTGCTAGAGGCTTGACTATTAACGCATGTTGGCCGACTTGTTGCAGGAACCGGACATTGGAAGCTGCAACGTGTAGTTTGGAGGGAAGTTTCAGAAGACCACAGGTGCTATTCTGTGAACTCAGATAGTTGTCGAAAGTAGCAGAGCTGATAAGAATTAAAGATGATGAAGGGTACTTGACTGAATGATATGAAGGAAGATTAGAAGATAAAAATGTGGAAGATGGATAGTGATCGTAGGTCACTTGAGTGCTGACAAAGTTCTTAGGGCGGTTGACACTCTCCGGTTACCGAGACTATCTGGAAGGCTAGGTCAAATTGAAGCATCTGAAAAAGAAAAGTTAGTGCGTGACTAACAAACCCAAGAGATATTTGCTTGGGGATGGTCACACAAAGCCTCTTTGAACGTTTAAGATTTTTGTTTCCTGTTTTCGGATCCGACTATGAATCCCTGGCGCAGGTATCGGTATCCTGAAGGGTGAAGGGGATGCGGTATTTTTGGGACCAACCTTTCCTAACCCCACCCCATTCACATAGGGAAGGCAGCACAAGCATGGCACTGCTGGTTATCTAAGGGAAATACCTTACTGCTGTCACACCTCCGTTCAGTCACCAGTACAACTTCGCCCTCAGACAACCATCACAGCGTAGCAATTTACGCTATATTGGTAACGCTTTCTGTTTTACCACTATCCAGCTAACGTTTGTGGAATGATAGGACATTGAGGAAGAAGCGTTCCACCAACATAGCTCATTGGGTCACTGTGATAACAAGCCCGACCCCTTGAGGTGGATCAAGGTAGCAGCTATCGGTTAAGATCCTAATACAAACTATCCAGTCAACTGTACTACAACAAAACAAAAGATGTGCAATTCATTTTTTCCACGATAAAATCGTGCGGTTACATGCTTTTTGAATAAGTGATGAAACGATAAAATCGGAATGAATAAGGAAACAATAAATGTGCTTTTTGTAATATTCTGAAACAAGATATTCAACCTTAAACTCACATGAATAAGTTGGGAGGGGTTAGATGTTTAAATGTAAGCTTTGATTTAGGCTTTAGAATAGAACTGTCACCTGTGGTAGACTGACATTGTTTTTCGCTTTGTTGTCCCAGCGTTTTACGCAATAAAACAGCCTTATCTCCAGTAACTGTTGGAAGTGGTGGTTGTCGCAGTAGACGACGCAAATCTTTCGTTGGCAAAGACCCAGTAAACAGTTGTTCAGTTAACGATGTCATGGTGAATTCTACATCATATTTAGCTAGCCATAAACAACGTAGATCACTGGCCAACACCATATAGGGTATAATAATGGTTTCAATTTGCTTAAAATATTTTAGAAATAAAAACTCAAAGAATTATATCACGCAAATCTATGTTACATTATTATATTGAACAAAATTTCCAACTACTAAACCAAAAGATCAACATGATACAACTAGAGAAAACTAATAATTCATTTGTGAAACTGAGACTCGATTTCAGTACTCCATTTTTAACTATTGTATAAAAGTTTGAAATTCATGGGCATCTATTAACGTTTAAGGGTTCAGAAAGGGATCACAGCCTTCATAGAAGAAGACGAATAGTCCATCACAGAGTATCCAAGGTCGAATATTAAACAAATAATGTTTATTATTATTACCGCAATTCCCAAAAGGCTAACCGAAGCTTTCAGTTCTCTGAATACCCTAGTCCATCATAAATAGTATAACTATATTCCTCCTTTATCTTCTCTTTATTTGATCTGGAAAAACCACAAATATTACAGAAGGCATGACACAATTGATGAGTCTCAACAACCGGTATATATATATATATATATATATATATATATATATATATATATATATATATATATATATATATATATATATATATATATATATAAACATTGCAACAGCAAAAATGTGTGATGAAATATTTTTCAACGGAGTTCACGTATGATTAAAATCAGACCACACCGGAAAAATTACGTTTTATTTTTCTGTTTCTCTCTTGGGTTCCTAATGCAACATGAAGCTTCAGTAGCACGCCTCCACTGCACTCTGTTTTCTGCAGTCTTTTGAACCCGGCTCCACCACTCCCCACAACCTTCCATTTCCTCCTCACACGATCTCCTCCATGTCACCCTCAGCTGGGACGCCCAACTCCTCGTTTCCCATTCGAATTCCACTCGACGGCCTGGCCTGGTGCGTGACGTCCCCAATCGGCCTTCTCAGTGTATGCCCAATCCATCTCCACTTTCCTCTACCACATATTTGCTCGGTGATACGTTCTTGGTTGGTTCGTTCCCAGACAGCCGGAGTTCCTTGTTGCTTATTCTTATTATTCTGGCCATCTGATCTTCAGTGTCAGTATCGAGTGAGGGTAGGCGGCAGTTGTTGACGAATGTCTGTAGTTTATTGGATATGCTTTTCGTAACGTGCCAAGTTTCTGAACCATATAGAAGCACTGACTTGACTGAGTTGGTGTTGAAAATACGGATCTTGTTCACGCTTTATGCTGAGTGGAGTACAGTAGATCTCCACACTGATTTCAGATCAGTGAAGGTCTGTCTTGCTGTCTTTCCGATCCTGGCTTTGACATCTTCATCTGTGCCGCCACCCCTAGTTGAAACGATGATGCTTTGCTAGATAGGTGAAAGAGACTACTTCCTTTAGGTGTCTCCCGTTGATGGTGATTGGTCCTTGTTGTTGTTGTTGGTGGTGGTGGCGTTGGTTAGGTATCTCATCGCTTCTGTCTTCTCTACATTCACTTGAAGTCCCGTCTTCGCTGCCTCGCCTCCTCTGTCAGCTTGTTGGTTTTCGCTTGTAGATATTCGAGTTTGTGAGACAAGACATTAGACATAGATGATCATTGGCGAAATCCAAATCTTCTGCGAGGGTCTTTTCATCGGTCCAGCCAATGCATGACCATCTTCTCGCTTGTCACAATTTGTTGCATGATCTGGTCCAGTCGACCACAATCAGGAAGATCATCGGTGATGATAGTAGGCGGCACCCATGTCTCACTCCTGTCCCCTATCTTCACTTCAAAGCCATCACTGAGCTTTCCATTGTGAATCACTTGAAATGTGGCATCATATAGCGTGTAGCTGCTGTTGAATAAGGTTGATAAAGGTTTGTGGCACTAAAAGCGTAGTGTTGAAGCAGCTGCCTGCCAAATTACTTGTCGGTCAACGCTGTCGAAGGCCTTTTCAAAGTCGATGAAGTTGAGGTTGAGTTGAGTTGACTGCCATTCTATACTCCGTTCCATCATGATGTGCTGCAATTTGTTCCGCACACGATGTTCTTCCTGAAGCCAGCCAGCCAGTCAGTCAGCCGGTCTGTTCCGGTCGTAATTTTGAATCCAGTGCATTGTTTATTCTCTCCAGGATGATGCGACTTAATACTTTTCCCTTGGAGTGGACAGGAGTGGGGCATGATTCCGTGCCAGTTCTTGCAAACACTTAGGTCTCCATTCCTTGGGAGTTTGACAAGGTAGTCCTTCTTCCAATCAGTTGGCAGGTACCGTTCCTTCCTTTCAAACCTTCTCCAGTAGTGGTGTGAGGAGCATGTCCGCTGTTGTCTCTGCGTCTGTTTTCACTTCTTCTGGTGGAATTCCATCTGGTCCGGCTGCTTTCCGGATTTCAGCGACTTTATGGCGTTCAGGACTTTACTTCTGCTTTTGTTGGAGGGCTTGTGTTCACTGGTAATTCTGTGACTGGGCTGCAGATGGGTATTTCTGGACGAGTTGCAGGTGGTGGTGGTGTTTTCAGGTCTCTCCTACCTTCAGCCTATTTCTCTTCACTTGCCAATGCTTCGTAGAAGTGTCTTTAGTCTTTCCGCGCACTCTTCTTCTCTTCTTTGTCCAGTGTAGTGTTTTATAGGTTGTGTTCAGTTCCTCTTCTCGTTGTGCATCCTTGCACTGGTTCATCTTCTGCTTCACCATCTTCTTCTTCCTCTCCCTCTCCTTCTCCCTCCTCTATCACCTTCCATGTGTCCGTCGAGATCCATCCATCCTTTGTCTTGTTTCTTCTTCCTTCATAACACGGTTATTCAGGTTTCCTTCCACATAGCTTTCAAAGAGTTCCAGTGTTCTTCCACGCAGGTTTCTTCACGGATGTTGCTCAGCGTCCCTATTTTGTCCTGATGACTGACATAAAGATGTCCTCTGAAGTTTCGTCGTTCAGTTCAGTCTCTGTTCTGGGTGTTGAACTTCAACTGTGGCTTACCACCAGTTTCTGTGAAGGCTTTCAACTTGATTTGGAAGGTAGGCAGGTTCCTTGCACTAGATAGTGAGAGTGGTGTGAACCTACATCTGCTCCCCTTCTTGATCTGATCTTCGGTCCAGTAGGCTGCATCCCCACTTTCTTCACATTCACGTGAAGTCGATCTGATTTTTAGTGTAGTGTGTCCATCTGGTGAAGTGCATGTCGCTGCCTTGTGAATATCCTTGTGTTTGTACACACTGCCTCCATTCACGAAGTCGTTGAATGCGCAGAAGTCTGCAAACAGTTCTCCATTCTCATTCATCATTTCACCGTGTACTTCTCGACCCATAATCAGTTCTCTTCCTGTCTTGTCTGCTACCAGTTTGGCATTCATGTCACCCACCCCACACATTAGAATGAATTTTGATGTCGCCATCTAGGGTGGGGTCTTGTCCAGTACTGATTGCAGTTGTCTGTAGAATCCCTCCTTCTTCTCTTCATCTGCATTATTTGTAGTTGCATAGCGCGTAGCATTGTGTGATTGTGACTTTCCTTCCTTTTGATTTGAATCTTGCTGTCGTGATCATGATCGTAGAGGAGGAGGAGGAGGAGGAGATTGGTTCCCACTGCATGAGAGAGAGCCTTTGTTGCTGTTGAGGACATCATGATAGCCACTGCAAAACTCAGTGTGCTCGTGGTTGTCATCTGGGTGACAATATTGAAGTAGATTATTGATTCTTCAGTTGACACTTTGGAGAGTCCACTTCCATTCCATCTGGTTTCGCAGATTCCTAGCACTTCTATTCCATACCTTCTCATCTGTTTTCAATCTGTGCAGCCTTGTTAGGTTCTTACATGATGCGGACGTTCCATGTCCCTATGCTTACTTTTGCTTTCATCGAGAGGAGAGAAGACACATCGACCGATTGGCTTCGCAAAAGCTTTCACCAACTGGCGTTATTTCGTCTCTGTGATTCCAGCGAGGAATCAATTTGTTTTTATTTTTTGTTTGTGGTTTGAAGTTTGTTTAGCAGTTGGATTGGTTTTCTGGGGTAGGATTGCTAGTCCTATGCCCAACTTGCCCTCTTCATCCGGTCTTAGGACTAGCCAGTTACTAGTGAACTAGTTAACCAGGAGACGTTTAAAAAATTATATAATGTTTGAAATAGTTATGGGGAGAAATTTTCATGAAATATTTTGGAACGGAGTTCAGATATGATTAGAAATCAGGTTACAAGAGGAATTACGTAATAATTAAAATGGTAATGAGAAGAAGACTTACCGAGATCGGACTGATATTTGATCACTGAGTTAAATGATGTAACATGGTGAATGTAGAAAGAAATCAGATTTATAGTTGTGGAGGTATTTAATGTGTGAGAGGATCTGAA